GATTTTTAGTGTGTCCTGGTGTCTGGTGAAATCTAATCCATGTCGCTTCCCTGTGAATATCCTTGTGTTTGCACACACTACCTCCAATCACCAAGTCATTAAATGTGCAGAAGTCTGCAAACAGTTCCCCGTTCTCTTCCATCGTTTCACCGAGTGCTTCTCAACCGATAATGAGTCCCCTTCCTGTGTTGTCTGCTCCCAGTTTGGCATTCATATCACCCACCCATTAGAATTTCGATGTCACCAACTGGGGTGGGGTTCTGTCCTGTACTGAGTGCAGTTGTCTATAGAATTCCTCCTTCTTCTCCTGATCTGCATTACTTGTAGGTGCATAACGTAGCGTAGCATTGTATGAATGTGACTTTCCTTCCTTTTGAGTTTAATCTTGCTGTCATGATTTTGATCCTGCAGGCGGAGATTGGTTCCCACTGCATGAGAGAGAGCCTTCAATGCTCTCGGGGACATCATGATAGTCACTCCGAAACTCAGTGTGCTCGTGGTTGTCGTCTGGGTGACAATATCGGAATAGATTGTTGACTCTCCAGTTGACAGTTTGGAGAGTCCACTTCCATTCCATCTGCAGATTCCTAGAACTTCTATGCTATGCCTTCTCATCTCTTTGGCAATCTGGGCAGCCTTGCTAGGTTCAAACATTGTGGGGACATTCCATGTCCCCATGTTTACTTTTGCTTTAATCGAGAGAAGACACATTGGCTGATTGGCTTTCCGAAGTCTTTCACCGACCGGCGTCATTTCGTCTCCCAATCCAACCTTCTCTCTTGATCCGGGTTTTGGACCGGCTAGTAACTGGTGAACTAGTTAACCAGGTGAGGTTGCGACTGTTTATGGAAGTAAGATATAAAAATAAGCTCACCACGAGGAATGATTCATTTTAAACCTAAAATTGAGCAGTTAACACTAGGCTTAGCTTCAGTGGGGCAAAACCTAGGACGAATTATGCGTGGCGTAATACTTGTCACTGGTTCAAAATCAACTACGTGATGCTGAAGGTATCTTTCGCAGGAAGGCGTCTTGAAATCTGTTTTCATAGAATTTAAAATCTTACCTTACCTGGCATGCAAGCGCATTAAATGCCAGTCGGGAACTCGTAATCTTGCGACAAAAGCGTTGTCGTTTCTCCTGTAGCGTCACACACTTCCACAAAATCCATAGCCTAGGGTTCGACGTCATTCAACATTGATGCTGACCTTGATAGTTCAACTGGACTCGCTAAGCTGAAGGCACCCGGTCAAGCATCCTCGCCATTTGGCACGCTGTCGTGTTACGTTGCACTGCTCGTATTCGACTCTCTAGCCAGTTAGTTCGAGCGCATCGGTATCTTGGCACAACCACCCAAATATTCCATTCCATCCGACTACGCTATTGTGTTCTTCCTTGGTCTCGTATTCGTGGGTATATAACAAGTCCGAATAATTAGTGATTGGTCTTTGTGTCTGTCAAGTTCGCACTAAGACAAATCCTAAATTGGTGAGCCCGACGTGATCACATTTCCCGACCAATAACAGATATTGAATTGGTGAGCCTGTTCCATTTTATATTTGTATATTGTTTTCATTTCGATAACATTTATATATCCATTTACTACACCTTCTCATGTCCGACCACACTCTTAAGCTTATTCGTATTAAGCCGACTACGAACACGATCCAACTGGTGCCACATTGGCCAGACAATGCAGAAACATGGTTTCTGTATGCTGAGGCAGATTTCCGAGAGCAGGGCGTCTCAGATCCTCATCCTCGATTTCTTGCTGTCTTACGTTCACCACCGCGGGAATTAAAGAGGCATGTTAAAGCACATATGTTCAGTCCCGAAATAAGTGACTGCACCAGGACAAATCCTAAACTCCTGTAGGCGTTTACAATAAATCTTTGGTAGCTTTCAATGACCTCGTCTTCTGTTTTGGACTACATTTGTCCTCCTTCATATCTGACGAAAGAGTTCGCGTAAATTTCGTTCTGAGGTGCAGCGAAAAATCATTTGCATGAATAAGGTTCAAAGAATACGACGAGTGAGTAGCAGTACTTAATCTATAACAATTGAGTAGGGATGAAGTGAGGTAACCAAATACCAGCGTTCCACATCTTAAGTACCTAGATAATTTGCACCAGCATTTACTGTAATGGTTACAGGTGCGGATCCTGTGCGCAAGAGCCCAACACTTTCCCGCATCCTTAGGACCCGAACTTGGCTGACCCACCAGTGCCATAAAACATACAAACCGAAGACTCGCTGGAAGACAATAAATGTTTTCACACTTCAATTCATTTCCACAGTCATAACCGAAAAAGCATTATTCGAACATGAAATGAAGCAAAAAATGAAGCTTTCACGGTCTTGCCGTTGGCAAAGGAAACACAATTAGAATGCATTGCCAACAAAACTATGTTCCGACACATCCTCGAAAAGACACTCAGAAGTTAGAAATCGTGCTTGGCAGCTTAAAAATTGGCCGTAAAACGTTACGAATGGTTTTTGCAGAGTTCTTAGTGCCTAAGATGATCTTATTTAGGGTTTTTTACAATTAAATCATGAGAGTTGTTCAACCAGAACAGAACAAGGCAGCCACAAGCAGTTCGCCACAATCCGTAGCACCTTATTCATGGAAGGAAGGCTGTATTACGACACCCGATGGCTGCAGTGTTTGCACCAAAGTTGTTTCGGTAGTCGATGAGGCATTTGCATGCAACCTGTGTCAACGATGGGCGCATTGCCACTGCGATACCAAAGTCCCCCGACAATACTATAAGCTGATGAAGAGACAACCATGCAAGTGGTTCTGGTACATCTGTCCAGAGTGCAGGAAAATGCCCGCACTCCGCACAGAAAGCCTGAAGGAGATGCTCTCCGCCACGCAAAAGCTACCAGCATCCTCGAATAAGGTAGGGTTAACACCAAAGGATAACACAGAGAGACCTGGAAACAGACCTAGAGCTCCAGCTGTGGGCACGCCACCTCGCGTGGGGACCATATTAGGTCAAGTCTCCATACCCCCTACCCGGCCCCAGGGGACGTCAAGCGCATGGCCAAAGACATCGACCGCCGAAGCCTCTACGAAACCCATTCCGAACACCCCACACACCGTGACTGAGAAACAACCAGTGGAATTACTCAAACCCATTGGGAAGTCGGGCGTGCCACCCACAACGAACCCAGGTCACAGGAGGACCAACTCGATCATTTTGTTCAACGTCGATGTATCGACAGACTCATTGTTGGTCGAGAGGGAACAATTTGACAGCCGAATGTGGACCGACTACTGTCAGATGCTGGGACTCCCTCCCCTCCCTGCAACTTTGTGTCGCCTTTCTCGAGGAAGCCATGCACCCCGAGATAAGCCACCCCCTTTACGTGTGTCCCTAAATACCGCCAAAGAGGCTGAAGACACACTCCTCTCTCGCGACAACCGGACGTTGTTAATGCCTGTAAAATTCGGGCCAGGCCTGACAAGCCATGGTCAGTAAGAGAGGAGGAGAGAAAGTCAGCGGTTGGAAATCCCAACAGAAACAACACTATAGTTGTACATGGGATTCCAGAATTGCCAAGTGACAGCTCGGTCAAAGATCGGTACTTTCACGACGTCCAACAATGGCAATGGCTCTCAACCAAAGTTGGTCTCAACAGTATACCGGCCAACAGCGTCAGTAGACTGCCAAGGCCAGCGCACCTGAAGACCATACCCAATCCCAGACTACTTGCCGTCCAGTTCGACTCATATGCCTCCCTCACAGACGTTCTGCACGCATGGTATAATGCGAAAGATCGCATGGGTGGCTCAATACGTATATGTGAAAGTAAGCCTAGACCCACAAGGCAAGAGGAGAGACGGCAACCACCAAGACCTCTGGAGTCAGTGGTCGTCACACAGGCGCTGACCAGTGAGTTAGATACATCAAGTAAAGAAGCCACCACTGCTACAGCCCCCACCCAAGTTAAGAACAAAACACAAAAAACGGAACAATGCCAGTCCTATGAGGACTGGCGAGGCTAAATTCAACCACGTAAGCGCTCATCCCGCGAAAATACACATCCAGACCTCCCCTCTCATCAGGTACACTCTAATATGTATGTACAGCAACGTTAGGGGGCTAATAGGGAAGGTAGCAAAAATGAGGACGCTGCGTGAACATCAGCACTACGACATCATATTCATCACCGAATCCTGGCTCTCATCGGACATCTCCGACGAAGAGATGCGTGTTGCTGGCATGGAACTCTTCCGCAGGGACAGGGAACATAGAGCAGGAGGGGGAGTGGCTATCTACGCAAACTCCTGTTTAAAGGCAAGGATGGTTAGCGATACGGCCTTAACCCAGCTCCCAGAGTCTCTATGGTGCTACTTCACTCTCTTCTTTATTCTCTCTTCATTCCTTTACCACTACCTTACTATTCTCTTTCAGGTACCTACACAGACAGGAGTCATGGCAGTTCTCTAAACTTCCCAGCAACCCGTAGCTCCCTAATCACTCTACAAATTACAACCTACTAACCCACAAAACATCCACCTCACCGAAGCTAAAAGCAAGAAAGCAGAGGGGATTTCCTCGTCCACTGCAGGAGTAAACCGAACAACTGGAACCAAGCCCTAAGAACTAGACGCGAGAGATCAAAAACTACCAGTTTTCTACGCTCGCACTATCAATATTGGATATTGGAACCAGAAGCTAAAAATCTACTTAAGGTCGTAGCATCAACTAACAGACTGAGGCGTCATCAATTATTTTTCAGCATTATTTTATATATTCTTTTGTCTTTCAAGACTTAGATTCTCAATCATAATGACTACTGTTTCACTGATTTCAGATATATAAGCCAGTTAGGTGGAAGCTTCTATTCTATCGTTAACGATTTAAACTGCTCTAATCTAGACCTACTGAATTCGAATCCACCAAAGGACTGGACCTGGTCTGCAAGACCTCGACGTGAGTGCGAAGGAATCAGTTGGTCTACATTAGCTTGTAAAAAGATATTGGATATTGGATATGACCTAGAAACACGTGGGAATTCAAACTGGTCTGACACCAAGTTATGTTAGCCGAAGTTAGTCTTTTTGTTTTCTCTTTAGTAATATATTGCAATTCCCTGTGGTGTGGTTTTGTCTTTGATGATGTGTCGGCTATCAGAGATAACCAAGATCTGCGTCCGTCGACGAGTCTACTGGAGCTTTTTAAAAATGATTTTTGGGGAACTCCTATGGATGAGGTTTGTGAAATTCGCTTAAGATTCTGATTTTCAAAGGAAAGAAGCCATAAATCATACAGGCCATTTACAGTTTTAACTTTCCGAATCAACTATCTTTTCCACGAGCTGAGTCCTGTGGGGTATCATGCTGTCAATGTTATTCTTCACTCATTAGTTGTGATATTATTCTTCAAGTAATGCACTTTACAATATTATCTCTCAGGTTATGTTCGTGCTACCTGCAGAAAGAAGCAGCATTCTTAAGTTCCATTCTCTTCTCTGCACACCCAGTTCACACCGAAGCTGTAGGCAGTATTTCCATTCTTCATAAATCACCGATAGGTAACTGGTGTTGTTGGAAGAGCTGAACTGCTATCTTCAGCGATGTTTCTGTCTGCCATCTTGTTGTATATTGGCGGTCAAGATGGTCTCTGCAAACACCGTAAGGTTTTATTTCTTTCAAATGTATATATTTGCTGAAACATCATGTAATATTTGACTCTCATCTGTTTTCAATTAAATATTTGTAGTGGTAAAATATATGTTGTAAAAGCAATGTGAATTTTGAGGTAGTTTGTCCAAGCTCAATTCTGTGTGAAAATGCTGTGGACTTTTTGAACTAATTATTCACACAGCTGCCATGCTCTACTATACTAACTTTGATGGGGTTGGGTTCTCCGAGCTGGATTGCTTAGTCCAGCTTGTATGGTTTTCACTCCTAAATTTATTACAGTGCATTTTGATACCATCAGTCACATCTGTAAAGATGTTTGAGGTATTCCTAAGTTGTTTTCAGAGTAGATTTCATCCTATCCCATCATATAATTGTTGTTTCAAGAAATCGTTGCCTATCACTTTGAGTGAGTCACGTATTTCTTGTACATTTAAAATAAAATAGTAGTTTAGTTCAGTATTCTATAATTGTCCTTTTTTATGAACCAGCAGTGTTGAAAGATAAAATAGACCATCGATGTCACCTTAACCAGGTGCCTTCTTTCTACAAAGTACAGTCATATGAATCATTGTCTTCTTATGAAAATTACCAGTCTAAATGCTACAATTCTTTTGAATTAATTTATTCTCCACAAATTCATACGGTTTAAGATCTTCTAATTCTCTTGATAAATGTGGTTCGCTTCCGTGTGTTTGAAGTCGATACATAAATACTGACCTTGCGTTTGTAATAAGCATTTGTTACCGTTAAATATGCAACAAATAGCAAATGTGCTTAGTTAGGGGCATTGTTTTGCTTTGTTAGATAGGCTAGACTTCGATGTTTATGAGTTTTAAAGGATCGTTTCTACTTTATAGATGAAAAACATTCAAAAATTACGAATTTTTCGCACGTGTTCAGAAAATTTCAAATAAACTGCATCTGTCTGCTAAAGTTGCTATCTCTATCTCCCGAGTCGACCGTAGGTTTCCCTGCTTTCTAATCGTATACTGAAAGGGATTTGAAGAAGTGAGACAAAAATTCTTGCTTCTGGTATTTTGACGAATTTCTCAAGTAACAGCTTTCCATATTTTCCCTGACAGGTTTTTTAGATTGAAAAAGAACTCCAGTAAGTTCTGCTTGTTTGATGACATCTTCAATAGTAAATTGCTATAATGTTTCTTTTGGTCAGTGAAAGCATAGGTGGTATTGCTTTCCTGTTAATATGCTTGCGTTCCTAAATCTAGCATATGCGAAGGATCTGATCATCAAAGGTGGCACCAAGTTTGTGACCTGCTTACTTTTACCGATTTAGTCTTGTAGTATATTGAGGTGTCAGAGAGTTATCAGTACCACGAATTGTGTTTCACTAACTGATGTAAACTAAATGTAGCCGTCAGGCAATTGGTTCAAAACGCTCGGCACCACCCAAGGTTTAGGTACCCAGTTAGCATCTCTTGTTGCTAATCAAATAATCTTTGCTAATAGTATGCATAGATCACCCTAGTTGCACTACTACCAGCGTTATTTCTTCGTGGAGGTTGTGATGATTGTGTTTTGAGGTTGAAACTGGAATGTTCAGTAATTGAGTAGTTTGTTTTTATCAAATAACTTCTAAAAGCTAAGATATGGTGACAGTCTGTCAAGAGTCTATGTCTATTGATCTGAGGAGTGTAAGGAGATGTTGGCTGTTCGGCTGCGGTCCTTGAGACGTTAGATGTTACTTGGATGGAAGCGATCTACAGGAAGCCCTTGACGTAGGTTTCGTGCTTTCTGGCACCCATCAGCAGGGCGTGTCTGCAACCCTGACGGAACTGATATCCCGCCCGAGACTCGAACCCATGTCACCCAGTGTTGTGGTCAGCAACGTTACGCCTGAGCTGTTCGGGCCGTGACTAACCTCCTGTAAGACTGGTAAGATACATCGATTGGTCACTGGAGGGTAACCAACTTCATGTTGTCGAGTCCTAAGTGCTGGATCATTTTGCAATATGGCCACCGGACTGGGCAGCTCAGCATCGCGAGGCACTTTGAGTAAAACAATATGAATAAGTAGTTCGAGGTTCGTGGAAACTTAACCGGAATTCGACTGTAATGGCATCTATCTATGCACTTTCATTTTCGAAACATTACATATCTGCAATAAACTTCATCTTTTTATTCTCTCTCTGGTAACTTCCTGATGCAAAAAAACTTTTTTAGTTTTTCAATGACGCAAAAACGTTTTGCACATTAAAATAGACTCATTTTATTACACAGCTCTTCAATTCCAGACAGGCCAAAGTTACAATAAATACATGGATAGTGTACCTCCAGACCGATAGCTGCTACCTTGACGTAGTAATCGGGCTTGTATCTCACAGTGACCCAACGAGCTATGCTAGTAGAACCCTTGTTCCCTCGTAGTCCTACCATACCAAAAAGGTCAGTGGGATAGTGGTCAGGCAAAAAAGAACTTACCGTTATAGTGTAAATTTTTACGCTTTGACGGTAGTTCCAGGATGAAGTTGTAATGCTAGCTGGACGAGGGTGTGACAATAACAAGGTATTCCCATTGGGTGACCAGCAGTACCATGCTGGTGCTGCTTTTCCTGTGGCAAGAGTGAGGACAAAAAGTCGCTCTTAGAAGCCCTGTCCCATCCTCTGAAGTGTGGGCAGCCAGAAAGTATCATTAATTCACACAATAGACGTGGTTCAACGCCTACTTCACAAATATGCGCAGGGTTGTTCAATGTATTCCGATTTTCTCGTATGGTAGCACACTCCTGTCCTACAGCATACATGCTGGTGCCAGTGATGTGAGTTCATAGTCGGAGTCAAAACTGGCAAACTTAAATTTCAAACCTGAAAAGAGACCGTGTGTGACACGTCTCAAGCAAATGTCCATTGAACTCTGTGATCACGCGCTGACCCTTCTTTTTCAGGTACCTCAAAATAAACTAGCCTCTGGGAGCAGCCAGGTAACGTCGACTGCCTTCACAACTCTGTCAGCACTCAAGTTACCTCAGATCACTGTCCACCTTCACATTCTTAACTTCCAGTCTTCATTCACCTCTCTCAGTCATCATCTTTAATTTTTTCCAGCTCTGCAGCTCCTGACAACGGTATGAATTCACGGAACAACATCACTGATTTCCTGAAACAGAGCTCTAGACTACACATTAGTACTTCCAACCTCCACACCCTCCGTCAAATCACCCAACAAGTTTCGCTAGCCAAAACTCTAAAATATCGCAGCTTTGACGTGTGGTTATTCACCTACCCCTCACCTAGTCAGTGTGGTGAATCTGAAAAAGTCACCGTTCGAGTCTAAGGATATTCGACGGCTAGTTTTCACAGTCTTACATATGTAGGTGTAACATTGAGTGCTAAGGCTAAAAGTGTGCTGCTCAACCGGAGTTCAACTGACAGTGTGGGCTGCTCAACTGAACGTTACAGAAAAGACTCAAAAGAATAAAGCCCATCGTTGTCTTTTTGTAATCCCTACCTACGCGCCCACTGACCGCAGTTCGGCAGATGTGAATGATGGGTTCCGCCAAAAACTAACTAGCCTCCTGAAAGCTAAATGTTCAGGCATCGTTTTAGTTGCAGGTAATTTCAGTGTAGAAGTAGATAGGCTAACTCAGGCAGAAAAACACTTAGTGTGTGTCACTTTTAGAATCCACGCCGAATGAACAGATAACGGTGATTGCGTGCAGTAACTGCTCAGACAACCGTCTGTTTCTGGCCAGAAAGAACACTGTCTGACTTGGCATGCACCGAATTCAACTAACGTGTGGATACAAATAGGCCACACAGCTATCAGTTATCGTTGGGAAAAGTCGGTGGGAGATTTCTGCTTCTCCTAGATCAGCGATCACACGCTGGTCTGAGCATGTGCATGTCTGTGCCTAAATGAACGTGGAAAAGCAACAGCAACAAGACCATTGTGACTACAGCCCGAAAATGAAAACGCTAATGGTGCTTTCAGCTACAACTCACTAGACAGTTCTTGCAACAGAACAACATCACTCATGCAGAAGATGCTTAGCGTTACCTGCAATCTTCTATAGAAACAGTGATGAAGAGCGTAACGGACTGTCAGAGAGTGGCTAAAAGTACTAGGTGACATAGCTTTGTTGACTGAATACTCTAACAAGATGCAGTGTCTTCTGAATGCTTCGAGTTGCAATCTAAGAATCCTTGGAATGCGTTTCTCGCCACCTAATTCAAATATTTGCTCCAGAACTAGTATTTAGTGGTGCCTGGGTTAATAATCGGGAGTGAACTAGTTGAGTGTGTCGATCACTTCACTTACTTGGGGAGTCGGATCTGTCCTGGCGGGTCAGTGGCTGATAAAATCTCTGCACAGATACAATAGGTTGTACTGACTTTCGTCCAATTTTACCTCCTAACTCGTCGTAGCATATGTCAATCTGGGCCACTTTTGATATCGTGACTTTAGCCTTGCTGTAAAGGTCGGGTGTGTAAAGCATCAGTATTGCAGTTCCCTTCTGGACCTATGAAAACTGACCTCATCGAAATGAGGATGTTCGAATACTTTACTTTTTCAATCAGTTTTGTGCTTCAGATCAAATTACACTCTTATTTCTGAAAGTAAGGCTTAGTGAGTGACAAAAGACTTAGGTTTGAATGACACGTAAGGTGCTTGCACCTACTTCTTCAGAGATCTTAAAAAACGGTGAATTTGCTAAGCTGCTGCGAAGAATATATGTCTTCAGCTCATTATTAGTGCTGGTATGTAGATGAAAAACCCAAAATCAGGTTACGTAATCCCGAACCATGTGGATTTGCTGTGTTTCCCCTTGCTTTAAACTTGTAAATGATTTCTTAAGTCAAGTGGAGTGCGTATCGGACTTGCTATCCCATACTTACCACACTACTCATTTAGATGTCACATTTGACTTCACTAGTTAAAAAGCCATATACGAAGGTCTGACATAATAGTGAATAGCAGTAAATCATGTTGGTCTTCTTATGGTCCTTATCAAACTCCCACTGTTTAAAAGATTACGAAAAAAACTGACTTGGCTTATCGTTTCGAGGGGTGCTCATGCCAGAAGTACATTTTTATTGTCTTACCACTATGTTAAAGAAATAAATCTTCAGCTTGTATAGCTACCTCAAATGTATTCCGCATATGCTAGAAAACTGTGATAGTCATTTGTGAAGTCACCACCTTCTTATATGAGCCGCGTAGAAAGTTGTTGGTTACTACCACTTGATCTCCACGAAAATGGAATGTTTATGGCTGACTATGGATTAAGGTTGATTGTTTATGGTCACTTGGTACTTTCCCTTTAATGCTGAGTGCGTTATAGCTTTAATCGTCCTAATCCGTCACGTGGTGAAAATAAGATGCACTACCGAATTGAAACAGAAATCGAAATCCACTCAGCAACTATATGCGCATGTATGCGGCAGACAGTCAGCCGCATCTATTGTGGGAGGACTAATGATGCCACCTGGCTTCCCGAACCTAAGTAGATGGAGTAAGGTCCCAGCCCGTGACCCACTGGTTAAAAATAGAATGCCTAGACCAATGAACCACAGCTCCATTTTACTACAGAATGGTGTAAACACATATTTTTCTGTTCTGATATGTATATATAATCAGTCAGTCCTAAGGGGGCAGTCTAACTGTTTTTTTTTTACAAAATGATATCGTATCACCAAATCAGTTCCCACTTGAAATTTCATTTCTTTTCATAGGTCGCACGGTGGATTTTTTAAACGTGCTCACAGTCGGCCTGCTAATATTGATTGGAACATTCTCCAAGGAACAATGTATTACAGTCTTTGGTGTTTTCTTCACTTATGAACTTTATACAGTTTATCAAGTAAGCTGTTGAGTCGGTATTTTATCATTCCAGAAAATTTTGTCGAATGGGATCGGATCTTCACAAAGTGGTTTCAAGAAAGGTAGCTGTCAAAAATCCAGAACATTGGTCGATATGATTCCTTGTACTTGCCAACAACTTCAATTTAAGTTGTCGTTGCCTGTGTGGATTTCATATGCATCTATTTGTAGAATTCTTATTTTGCTTCTGTTTGTTTTTGCTATCATGGTTGCACGAATTCGAATAATGGGTGGACAGTTACCCCATTTTACTGAGTAGGTGCTAACACTGAACTTTGAAATTTGATTTGTTAAATTCGTTTTAAAGCAGTTGTTACCCGTAAGCCTATAGTCATTGTGTTGACTGCAATAGTCGTAGTTAGTTACGTTCCTTACTCTAACCAACACAATAGTTTGTTGTTTGTTTGTTGTTTCATGCTTTCCAAGTTGCTGTTTCTACAGCATTATCATTTATTTTTTCTAATTTAAGTAAATAGTTCGGGAATCTTGGTTGACCATAAAAGTCAACAGTCAACAACATGATCAGAAATGACTATCATGGTGTCTTTATTGTCTTGCATTTAGTTACTGAAGTATGGTTCTTGTTTGCATTTGTTTATCAGCTCTTCCGACTGTCACAGATTATCTCTTTTTTTCTCAGTACCGTAACTTCGCATCCTCACTAGACTGTTCCTCAACTATTAACTCATTGTGACGTTATATTATATATATATATATATATATATATATATATATATATATATATATATATATATATATATATATATATATATATATATATATATATATATATATATATATAGCCGTGCCACTAAGTTTCTGTGTCCTGTAGTTAGTGTCATTAACATGCAACTTGAGCTCATGTGTAGGTGTAGCTAAATATGAAATGTTTGCTTGTGTAGTACATTTTTTATCGAACTATCTGTACAGTTTCTAATAACTTTTAAATAATAGTCAAAGACTTACTATTACTGCATGGAATAATAAAGTTACTACACGATCACCACAGAACCCTTATGATCATCAAAAACGAAAGTTTTCAAAGTATAAGGCGTCAGATATCGGGGTGCAGTGTGGTTGTGATTGTTTTCAGTATCGCCGCGCCGAATGGATTCGTAAAGCATTCTTATTATTCTCCTGCCTAACATAATGTCATTCGGCCATTGGTTGAAGAAGTGGGTTAAGTACATTCATCTGTTTGACGGCAGACAGGTGATGGATGAAGGTCTAAGTAATAACCATGCTGCGCAGCCTGACGTGGCAGTGGACAGAATAGGGTTGACCAGCGTTTCCCGCGGGTTATAGTCTTCTTTATGAAAGCCTTTCTTCGGCTCTAAGTAACTATTTATTCGCTAATGTAAAAGCTGTCTCTCGGTCTCCTTGGTAACATGCAACCGAACTTCATGGATGATAGAAGACTCTGGGGAAACTTGTCCCTTATGTGGGGCGGGCCCGTGAGAACATGAAGCGAAACCACTAAGATCAAAAATATCAGGAGCAGAAACAAGAGCATAGGCGGTGAAGAGGCGAGTAAGGCGAAATGATCATGTAACTGTTGAAACGTACGCCGTTCTCCATTGTTTTTAACGTTGGAGAAGTGCCAGTGTCAGAAAAAACTAACCAACTTACTGCTTAAGAATATATCACAGAATTATCACCCCAGTGACAGAAACATGTATCCATTTTCAAAAAGACTCACCACTATTACATCTTTGAAAAGGCTTAAAAACTGTGATCCTAATGCTTTTCACTCTCATGGCAAGCTGCCTCAGGTGCCTTTGCTTTACTGGACTCTTGAAAAACAGATGAACAATATCCGTCAATTATTGTTCATGAATGAACATCCCTTCTATAGTTCTCCGCAATAAACAAAGAAATACACCTTCTATAACATGCACGAATACATGCCGACACTTTCATCGTTGGTTGTTTTGATGACAAACTACGAAGACCGCATGAATTTACGGTGACTGGCTGGAAATAAACGGTCTGAACGATAAATCAGCTAACCACTGGCGTGAGTACAGATTGCTACATGTACCATTTGGTAGTATATAGTTTGACCCCTGATAAAAGCGAAGCAATTGACTGCACACGACTTTGAAAAGTACTGCCAGAAGAGTGTCAGATTCTCGTTTCATAATCAACGTGGCTACCATGGCGAGAGAACACGGAAACAAATTGTACATTGATTACATCTGTGACCTTTTCAGTAGGTTTCTGATGAGAAATTGAAGTCGGTGCCAGCTGATCAAATGGAGGAACGTGGGTATGATTGTGAAAGCGTTTTGGATGGGGAAAAAGGATGAACACTTTTCTGACCACCTCTAAGTGAATTGTTCATTATCTATCAGACTTACTAACATGGGGCGCACTTCGCCATGAAAACACTAGACCAAGGGCTGGGTAGCTAAAGGACGTGTCATACGTCGTCAAAAACGTTTGCAGTAGACGCGGGTTCACAATAGGAAATGTCTGGCCGCCATCGAAAGCTTTGGTTCAGGCATCGGGCCATTTTGGAAAACACGGCCAGAGGTAGGGTCAAATGTAGGACTGAAAAATATCAACCCATATGGATGGAAAATGTTGCAAAACCATACGCCTGACTCTACATTTTGCCCGACGCCTTCTGTTCCCAGTGGTGCAACCCTGTCCTACTCGACTCGACAAAATTGTTGGCTGGGGAACAGACGAGTGGAACATGTCGGCTACTTGTAATATAAACTTCGAACGTTGAGCTACCCTGATAACAATACAAACACTATTTCTTCCTAAGTTTACAGGTACACATAGTTTTTACAGATATGGCTTCTGTATCTGGAGGTAAAAAATCTTTGGCAACGCTGTTTTTCATCTCTTCATCTCGGGCCATGGCAATCCACGGGCTAAAAGATGGGTTTTACATCAAGTATAAATAATACGTGTCAAGCTTCATGTTGAATTTCGGCGTTCATTCATCGGTTTGAAGTTGTCCATTTTCATGTTTAATGGATACGCAAACAATCTTGCGAAGAAGGGGAAAGCACCTCAACGTATTCATTCTCAGGAGTACAATGCTGTCCGAATTCCTAAAGGGTTTTCCTTTGAGAATTATCATGACGATAATGATATACAGGCGCACATTATTTTTACAGGCACGTATGAACGTCCACCTAAATTACGTGTCTCAAAAGCAGAGGGCCGAAACTTTCGCCTATTTTGTCGATAGAAGATATAAGTGTTGCATATTGGTGAAATAAAGCATTGCAACAGAATAAGTACACGCAAACTGTCATGATGGAGGAGTGGTAGTATCGCCTTGGCATTAAAAAAAACTAAGATATGTTTCCTTATTACATGTATTGCCTGAAGAAAAAATGAAGCTCAAGCCAATACTTCCCTTGTTACGCGTCGTACGATTTGCTGAAGAATAGTGATGAAAAGCTCATGAATGGATGTATGCTCTTTGTTTGTTATCCGTTCTTGTTGACTGGAAACAGTGAGCCTCCTGTATTCTCACGCCAGTTCACTTCAAAGATTCGTGATGTTGCTGGATATAATGATTGCATTTTTCTACTCTAGTAAAGAAATGTAACAGGTTCGTTTGGGGGGATCAAGTGGACTTCTGGAACAACTTGTCTGCCGTCTCCTCTGGTACTGGGACCTTGCGGCTGGTAGGTTTGAGACCCTTCTGGTCACTGGCATAATCAATAAATCCAGGGTTTTGGTGATGAAGAGGTTGTAGTGCGACGAAAGTGATCTCTTTATGTACGTCATAGTTAGCTGTTGCAAACGTGATAAAATTTCAACCAACGGCATATAATCTAAGCCAAGACTTGTTCCGTTAAAACTTTTCTATTATACCCAATTAGACGTCAGAACTGAACCTCTCCTCCACAACTAGAGAACAAAATAAAGCATAAGGCGGAGAAAAGCAAGAATTTTAATGGAGAGTTTGTTTCCTACATGCGCACTTTTCCTCACACAACTTTCTTTGCCATGAAGTTTCGTCGTACATGTCCCCCTATGGAAACGGCATCTAAGAAACAACTTAGCTCTCTTGTACAAAACTTTGCATGGCCTGTCGTACTGCTCATCCCCACCCGCTTGGAGATATGTACCGCCATATGACCTTAGAAATCATACACTGACGTTGTCAATAGAAAGATGCAACACCAGGTCAGATGTAAATTCTCTACTACATATTACAGCTTGATCTTTAATAGGCTCCCAGTAATTGCACGCAGCAGCATCTCTGTGCCGCAGTTTAGGCGCCTTATCAACGTGCTTTTGGGTTCAGATGATATCTCCAGTCTGTTTGCAGATAGATGCCTTTCAACAGAGGCACTCAGAGATGGCTCTGTAGGACTCTAGTGTCTCCAAGGTAGCGAAATTGATAACAACTTAAGAACAAATATGGGTGGGATGTCTCTCCATCGTCCGTTCAATGAAGTAAATAGCTCTTAATTTGGAACGGTGAGGACAGTGTGTATCAGACAGTTTCCCCTCTGTTGTATAGCCGGTACTATCGTATTAGGTTGGCCCACATGGTAGACAGGACACTCATCTGACTGAAAACGACGTCCAAATCCACTTAGTTGTACTGCCGAAAAATCTGTCCTCAGAATTCCTCGCAAACGTCCATACATCATATCGTCTTACTTTCTACACACTATGACTCCCACTAGTTCACTTCTTCACGCCGAAACTTCATATTCAGAGGCCTCTGCATACGCCCCTTTGCATGACGACTACCTTTTCCTTGTCTTTCAAATTCCCAATAAGACGTCTCGACTGATATGCTTCGTCGTCCAGACAGAAGGTTCCAGTGCTATACTTTGTGTTTATCGTGCACAAAAATCACTGACTATTATCTTGCCATAGTCTATTGCTGAATAGACAGATAGTTGTCAGGCGACAATTCTTAGATCTACATCTGATCTTTCCCTCCTTAGTTACTCTGTCCATATCTTGTTTCTCATTGACTTAAGTACACAAAAAGTTGTTCTGTACCCACGTTTCTTTTTCTTTCTCATTGGCAGATTCACAATGAAACCGCTGCATACTCATTAATTTGACAGTTCACCTCAGATTTGCTGCTCCAATTGGGATTGTTCCTAGAAATGTTGGCACTATGTGCTGTTTGTATCCAAACATGCAGGCTCTCCGGCTAATAGCACCCACTCATCTCACACAGAAGAGAACCGAAACTGACCCCATATGAAGCGCCAACCTCGAAGACATATTGAATGGTTTAATGATGAGACCCTACGCTTAGTGGGCTGCAAAATGAGAACAGTTTCTGGAAAGAGTGACAACTTTAGCCTAATTTATCCCCGTGAATTTTTTTCCAACGGCACTGAACCGAACAACCACTACATGCTGCATGACACCGAGCGCCACCTGTTCCAAGCTATGTCATCGGTCCATACCATGATTTGAATGTAGTTTTGCGTGCTCTCTATGAACAGCAATAACCTATTGATTATTCGAACCTTTTTAAGCCTTACTATTCCTCTGCGTTTGATATCCTATGTTCGTTTACTGGCTATGCGACTCATTAATTGAAGTGTAGAGGCATAATCACAGGTGCCTGCTTAAAGCTCACACTAAGTGATGAAGCCTGTGTTATTATTCGCTGCTGTTATGTAGCGAAAGAGTCAGTAACCAATATTTTTGGCCAGCAACAGTTGAATAACTGCATCCTGGCAGACTATGTATGGTGTACTAATGTATTCCTTCTTACTTTTCCCAGACTCACAAACAACAATAACGTTCAGATGTTGCCTGTACAAACGGCATGCGCTCGTATGATTTGTTATTCTAAATATGTTATTATTATTATTATTATTATTGTTATTATCACCATTAACAACAAGTTTCACACCGCCTAGGGGCAAAAGTGAGTGAAATTAATTGCAACTCGTCAACGTTGCGCACATGATGGGAAATGATATTTTCCTGTTTGTTTCAAAGAATTTTGGTATGATGATAGTGTCATGTATTCCCTGTCGTACCACTCAAGACTGTTCAGATGTTGCGTACTTCCTGCCCGTTACCAGTTTGATGATGACCGTAAACCTGCCACCTACAACGAATTCATAATATGAGAATAAAGCACTTATCTGTTTACCTATTTATGAGCACAAGTGATGTTAGGAGGGTGAACTC